GGGCGTAGTCTTTATGCTGTGGGGCAAGTACGCACAGGACAAAGGTGCGCCACCGTCACCCACACACCAATCTGCGCCGCAATGTGGCGAGACCTAGGCCTTCTTACCCACCTACGACATGCCATGTGGCCCACATGTGGACAGGCAAGATCATCAGCAAGAGGAAGCACCACGTGCTCACCTCCGCTCATCCGTCGCCGTTCGCCGCGCACAACTTTTTCGGAAACAAACACTTCTCCACCGCCAACAACCTCCTCAAGTACCTTCCCTTCCTCCTCGCCATCAGCCTTGCCAGCCACCATGGCGGTGCTGATGGAGGCCCTCGCGGTGGTGACGTGCAGGCAAAGGACGCTGACGGGGGAGTCCAAGAAGCCGATCGAGTGGCAGCTGGACCCCAAGGACGTGGAGCGCGAGAACCAGCGCCGGTGGCTCGAGGAGCGGGAGGCGGAATGGACACATGAGGAGCAGGAAGAGGAGGAGAAGGGCTCATCTGAACCATCACCGGCACCCCAAGAAGAGGATGATGAGAAAGATAGTGGGGAGGAGGAAGATGAAGCCACCTGAGGGTCACTTGTACAGCATACTGATTGTCTACACCTTCGCGTTCAGCGTGTGCCCGCCTTCGCCAGCCAATTCGTCTGCTTCGGTGTTCTCTTCCCACGGCCTCAGCGGCCACCTTTTTCAGCGAGAGGCATTTTCTGTCCATTATCATTTATTTATTTAAATATATTTTGCCCAGCGCCACAAACAACCAGCAGCACCCAAAGATGTGGTTCCTCTTCCATTTCTGTACGCTGCTGCTCTTCTCCTTCCTGCGTGCCACTCTTTAACGTGTGAGGCTGTTTGCCGATAGCTGTCTGCAGTTTATCACTACTATGACTATGTCCGACGCGTATGCCTCCCCCCACAATGGCTTTTCCTTCCCTCTTCTGTGTGGCTCACGCCCACGCCCACGCGTGTCCAAACGATGCAGCGGAAGGTGGGCCGCTTAACGTCGCAGGACCAAACCTACTGGCAGTTCTTGTGCGAGGAGGGCCGCTACGTTCGCACACCCTTCTGCGTCGAGGTGGGTCCCCCCTTCTCTTTTTATGCTTTTCCTGCTTTACTGCACTTGCCACTATCGCCTTGAAGTTGTTCTGCTTGTCGTGCGCACTCATCTCTCTCTCTCTCTCTCATAAGATACGAAGCGCCACAGAAGACCTGCGATGGAAGAAGGGGGCACCATTGCCTCCCTTGCCGAAACTGGTCAGCTCTCCTCGCCCAATACGTGCATGCGTCAGTAAAAACGTGCTAACGGTTCTCTCGTAAACAGCGAAGAGAGGCGGGGCCGGTGGTGCTGGTGATGACGAGAGAGGAGGAAGAGCCAACGAAAGACGATGCGTCGGAGCAGGAGGAGAGCAAGAGGCAGGAGGAGGGCCGTACCCAGATATCCTGGGTGAACATCGTGGCCAATTGGTGCTGCGGATGGTACGTCCGACCACTCTTCTCCCCCTAGCTGGGGCTTCAGCTGCTGTGCTTAACACAGTGCTCATGCGCACACTCTAGGGCGGTGCCACAGAAGCGAGACTGAGTCGGAAAGCCTCGCTACGGCCTTCTTGTGCGTTCTGATCGTGAGATGCTACGTGTGTGTGAGCAAGCTCTAGTGTTCAGTCTGAGACGAAAGACGGAGAAGCTTTGAGATAGCGCTGTATATGTAGACGAACAAGCTTCTTGGGTAACGACTTCTTCGGTCTCTACGCTAAGTACTGTTTGGGATCTGCCAAACGAACCTCTACTCTTCGATGACGGGGCTTGTCGGGAGGGCGCGCATGAACTGTTTGATGGAGTACTGAGCCTTCTCGATCTGGGCGCGTAGCTGCCTTCCCTTCTCCTGCTGCTTGGCGAGGTCCTCCTGCAGGTACTGGGTGAGAGCGGCATCCTCGTCGTCGAGCACGCGGAAGCCTTCGACCGCCTCGCCGAACATCTCGTTCACCTTCTTTACGAAGTCTATTCGAGTAGCAGCTCCAGCGTCAGAACAAAAGGCCGATGCCGCTACTCGCCTCTGCGCGAATGTAGACACTTGAACGCGAACATCGAGCGAAGGGTACCTGTAAAGATCATCTCCCCGGTTGGCTTCTCTCCTTCACCGAGGTCTCCAGAGGGCATGATGTCCGACATGGTGGCTGTTGCTGCTGTTGTCCTCGTCTCGGCTGCTGTGTGAAATGAAATGGAGCTCTGCCTGCGTTCTGTTTTCCCCTTTGAGTGCAGTGACGTCAGCGCACACTTTAACGTGGCCGCCACAGCCAAAAGATGGACCTGCTGCAGAAGGTGGCCATCTTCCTCGCGGCCCTTGTGATGCTGGTGGCGATCCACCTCATCACAAGCTCCAGTTTAGGCCCAACCGTCAATGATGTGCCGTTAGCGGAAACGATCAGAGATGAATTCCTGGACGATTTTGAAGATGAAGTTGAATCGAAGAGGGGTGCTACAGGCGAAGAGGAGGAGCTGTCAGACGACATCACCTTTCTGTTCGCTGTGATCGACATGAACCGAAGGACCCACATGGGCATCGAGAACTACACGTTCGAAAAGGACTACCTGGAGCAGGTCAAGGGCTTCCTCCGTAACTACCGCCCCGAGAAGATGCAGATCATCATGCAGCGCAAGTACTACCCGAATCTCGAAGACCTCATCTACGAAGGCGTCCACGTCCGCTTCGTCGAGCTCGAAGATCTGCGCTCGTGGCGCTTCTACGAGGGCGTCGAGCGCATCCGCACGTCCGACTGGTGGTCCGCCGCCACGCCCTGGCTCTCCAACGTGCCCCAGGGCTACAGCGACCTCTACAACCCCATCGTCATGCACAAGCTCCTGTGGCTGCGCGACCTGTCCGTCCTCAATCCGTTCAAGACCAAGTACTTCGTGTGGCTCGACTCCGGCGGCATCTGCACCCCGCGCATCCGAGACGGCATCCAGTCCATCCCCGAGTTCAAGACCAAGGCCAAGTACGTCCCAGTATCTTGTCTATCTTGGATGTTTGGACTAAGCGCTCTACGATGGTGCGTGCATGTGTGTGTTTGTGTGTGCGCGCGCGCGGTGAGAGCAGGCATTACATGGACAAGTTCTTGGTGACTATCACGCAGTACGCGATGAGCAATGAGCTGCACGGCTGCTATCGTGAGGCGATGCTCAAGCTCACTCACGATCAGTCTCCCTGCTATATCGCCAAGGGTACACACACACATGCTTCATAGGTTTACGTCGCCCTGACCATGCATCGTCGCACCTCGCCACTAGGATGGCTCATGGGTGGCCAACGGGAGTATCTGGAAAAGGTGTCCAGCCTCTACGAATATATCTTGAACAAAACCTTGGAGCTGGGTACGATTTGTGTGGTGCCTTCACCTTTCACGCCACTCCAAGTCGAATGCGGCGGACCTGACTGCGTGTGCCTCTTTCTCTTCTCTTCGGAAAGTGCACCTTGAGCTCACCCAATGGTCTGTACTCATCAGGGTGCCTGGGGACGGAGGAGACGCTGCTGACGATGGCGTACTATCGACGACCGGACCTGTTCCACGTCCACCACAACTTCGAGGACCGCTCCGATCCCTTCCCACAAAGCGACGACGTCTGCTACTTCGTGTGGGAGCGAACTCCCGCCAAGGTTTGTACACCTGACCTCAGCACACCACGCGACACAGCAAGACGTTGACTCCGCTTCTTCTTCTTCTTTCTCAGGGCGTGGTGGAGACGCCT